GTATTTGTTCAAGGAGCTGGAGAGCCGCATCTTGATATCAAAAGAGCCGCATGCGGCTCGCGAGCCGCAGGTTGCCGACCCCTGGTCTAGTAGACTTAGCAACAATTTCAATAGAATGTGATTACGCTTGCAAACTGGAATTGAAGGAATTAGTACAAACTTTTGCGACGAAAGAGGCAAGTAAAATTTGATTTTCATGTCTACTAATAACGTGTGTGCAATTGATAATAAATTAATGTCGCTTTCAATTAATTGTTTTCTTATACATATGGTTTAGCAATTAATTTGTGTGAAAGGGGGCGTTTTAATAAGTTTTGCCTAGGGCGTTAAATAACCTGGCGCCGGCCAGTGGCGGAACTAGAAAAAAAGGGCCACCCCGCAAACATTTTTTTTTGTTTTCGTTAATATTCCTAGAGAAAGTGGATACATTTTTATAACATAATAGCTGTAGGTTAGAAAAAATCTAATTAAACTGTTTAGTAATTTTGCCAAGGGAGGTATTTTAAAAATAAATTGAACTCACGCTAAAAATGTGAATGCAAAATCTGCAAGACGGAATAATTGTTGGAATAATATAATTAGCAAAATGTGAATGCAAATTATGCAGACGTGTAAAAGTACATTATTGTTGGAATATTATAATTAGCATTGATTGATAAAAGGCTATTTTTTTATTTATTTTATTCACTGAATGTAATGTTTACTACTTATAATTTTTAATCAACTATTAAGCACTATTATAGACGCGTCATCACGTTCATTTGGTGCGAAATGGTTTTAGTTATGAAACTCTATTGTACATTTTTAAAATTTAAAGTACTGGGAAAAAAATGCGTGAATTGATAAAGTGATATAGAAAGGTAGGTAAAACACGGATATTTTAAATACTGCTGGGGGTTTTATAGGAGAGGCGTAGAGAGGGGGGGGGGACATATGTCCCCGGTTGCCGACCTAAGGGGGCGCCAAAGTGGGTTGAAAAAAATGTGCGGGGGGTGGGGGGGGGGTGGAAATCGGAAGTTTGAGGGCGGTGGGAGGGTGCAAATCGAAAGTTTGAGGGGGGGGGGGGGGGGGAATTTTCAAATCAAAAGTGGTGCAAATCGAAAGTCTGAACGAAAGTCTGAAATCGAAAGTTTAAGGGGGTGGGGTGGAAATTGAAATTTTGAGGAGAGGGGGTGCAAATCGTAAGTTTGAGGGGGGGGGGGGTCAAATTGAAAGTTTTTCCCCGGGCGCCGGAAAGGGTCTGTTTTATAGTCATTCACTGTGTCAGACGCGTCCGGCGGCGCTCGGGAAGGGCGCGATTTGGCGCTACGGGCTAGACTGTGAGCAATATGCCTTTATGATTGCATTTAAATTGTGTTTATGTTATGAGTGTTGTGTTTGTTTTTTCTTTTGTGTTTTTTTTTCGTTCGTTTGTGTTGTGTTTAGTTTTGTTCTGTTCCCCAGTTGGTACATTTAAAAAAGATTTACCGTGGCGGAGCACGGGATGCAGCTAGTATATATATAAAGGCCTATAAATATAATAATAATAATTATATATATATATATATATATATATATATATATATATATAAATATATAAACACAAAATACGAACATAAGATATTCATTGCTGACCTGTTCGGGTTTTGAAAAAAAAATGTGTTTTCAATTAAAACAAATTACACATTACAAAATCATGTGATGTGTGTAAGTGAATTAGTGTGTTTTGTGAAAATCAGTTTTATTGAATCTCTGCTATGATAAGTACTCTTAACCTATAGACGGTCAAAAGAATATAAAACATGAAAGCTTTGTATAAGGAATGTTGTCTCGTGTTATGTTTATTTTTATGTTTTTTTTTGTATTTATATTAGTAATTTTAAATACATGTCCTTTTTATACATTGTCATTCTTTAGCACGTACTTTATAGAAAAATAATAATTAGGAGAAGTAATTGCTTTTTAATTTGTTTAGTTCAAATCTATTAAAATGAGCTTATGGGCACCCGTATTTAACTATTTAAATAAGTTAATAAAAAGTCTAGTGACAATTTAAGCGCAATTTCCTTAATTAATTTTTTAGAATTCACAGACCTACGTAAAAATCCTTTTGAACCTCCGCTCATTCGCTATGGTAAAATCCTTTCGAACCTCAGCTCTTTGCGCTAAAAACCTACACGATGCTCAGTTTAAAAATTCTTAATTAATTTTTTGTGACCGAACGAAAGGATATTTTTGAAAACTATCTCGGCAATATTGTTCTAAATTATGGCAGGAATCGATTGGTAAATGTTTCAAGTCGCTAAGTGGTCTGGTTGTCGAGATATGGGCCAAAAACTGCATTTTTTTTCGAGGTTTTTTGGCTTTTCCGGGAAATCCAGGAAGGAATTCCGGGAATTTTTTGGGCCCACAATCATCCTCGCAACTTGCTTAACATATTTGCTTTTGGAACTAGTCCTCGATATTGCTTCGTTGAGGAGGAGATACGACGTAAAGCTGCGGACACGCTGCGGACACACATCCATCCATCCATCCAGAAATGACGAGTTAATAATCGCAATCCCCCAGTATGGAAATTGCGCTAAAAAGGGAAATAAGTCATGGATGTGGTTTGAACGTTTGCTTATCTTTGATAAGTTTGATTATAGCAGAAAGATGACTCGGCTTTTACAGAGGTTTAAAAACAAAGGGAAAAATAATATAGAAGCGCGTGGGGTGGTGTCTATAGAATAAAGAAAATCCAACCGCAGCTACAGTATTCTTTAAAAAAAAAACATCATGTCAAAAATGCAAGAAAATTATTTTTTTTAAACAAAAGAAAATTTATTATGGTCGGCTGTGGGCCTCTAAATGGCGTGCCCCCCCCCCCCCCCCCGCATTGCGGTGTCTGGCGGCACTGGGAAAGTATAGGCGGCTGGGCTAAGTACTGACCACACTATCCACGTGTGTACAGAGTGCAGTGGCGTAGCGAGGGGGGTGCGGGGGTGCGGACCGCACCGGGTGACACCATTTAGGGGGGTGACACCAAGGCAAAAAATAGCAAAATATATAGAGAAAAGTGATAATTCCACGTAAGTGATTAATTCGAGTGTTAAAAAGTCTTTTAAGAGCAAATTTGATAATTCCCGACAAGGGTGAAAGGGGGGGGGGTGCAAATCGAAAAAAGGGAGAAGACGATGATGATTGATTACATAGTTTATTTCAGGCATCTCTTCGGGCGAGGGTCCCCCGAAAAAACGTCTACCGACCCCCCCCCCCCCCCCCAACGCAAAGTAATTTATATAGAAAATATATACTTCTACCAGTGTCCCCTCCCCAACCCCGTCGGAGAAAAAAGTCTGAAAGAAACACTTATTGATTCTTTCTCAAGAGGTGCGGCTACCATTACCTGCGCCCTGGGTGGACTCTGATCTTGCAACCAATGTTCCCTCTCTGATGCGCGGTTGCGCGGCCGCGCAGTAGTTTTTAGCATTGATTTTGTAAAATAAATATATCCATGTATACGGATTTTAGAACAGCGCGCACAGAAAATACATTTTGCACACTAGCTTTCCCCCTTAGAGTGAACGTTGCTTGCTACCCCTGTGTAAAGGGGCGGGCTAGAGTTACGTCTCCCGCACCGCCTACGTGTATAGAGAATAAACATACCTCAAGTATTCAAATTACCCCAACCGATATACGACATTGGCTGATCTATCATTAAAATTAATACTCAAGTCGGCCTATGAAATGTTATAGATCTAGCATCTGTAATATGATCATTGAAGATGGAATTCCATAAACGTTCGTTAGCCATCCATCCAAGCCCGTGTCTCAATAGATAAAGTGAATATTCCACACTGAACGCCATACACATTGAACGCCATATGGGCAAGTGGTTCTTAAATGTATTTAAATGTTGCGCTTCTTTGATGTGTCTATGTCGTTATGATCTGGTGTATGGTAGGATGTGACGTCATGCCATTGTTTCCTTGGTTAAAAAAACCTGTTACATCAATTTCACTTCATTGTGTCCTGTGTGTGTCGTGGTGTATGGTAGGACGTGACGTCATGCCATTGTTTCTTTGGTAAAAAAACTGTTACCTCAACGTTACTTAATTAAGTCCTGTGTGATGACGTCACGTCACTGTGTCCTGGTGCATGGTGGGTCAAGCCTGTGACGTCACTGTTACAACCGGGAATTTCATCGTTAGGACAGTGACCTGTTATCAGTAGCGTAGCGAGGGGGGGGGGGGGCGGGGGGACACATAAGGGGGGGGGGGGGGACACATATGTCCCCGGGCGCCGACCTTAGGGGGCGCCAAAATGGCTTGGAAAAATAAATTGAAAGGTTGAGGGGGGTGCAAATCGAAAGTTTGAAGGGGGGGGGGTGCAAATCGAAATCACGAGGGGCGGGGGATGCAAATCGAAAATTTAAGGGGGGGGGGGGGGGGGTTGCAAATCGAAATCTCGAGGGGGGGGGGGTGCAAATCGAAAAGTTTGTCCCCGGGTAGGGTCGCTACGCCTTTGCCTGTTATAGACTGTGTGTTGCTATTTTTAAACTGTATCGGTGTCCATTGTTTCATTCTTATAACGTTATAGTAGGCTGTACACGTTGAGTTGATTTTCTATACACGTGTGTACATACGATCTATCACCTACATGTGTGAGATATTTCGTCGTAGATCCTTTGTCCATAATATCATTCGTCCTGATATATTTTGTCCTGGTATCTTTTGACCTAGAGATCATTTGTCCTGAGATCATTTGTACAGAGATCATTTGTCCTATGATCATTTGTCCTAAGATATTTGTATGGAGATCATTTTTCCTGAGATCATTTGTCCTGAGATTATTTGTCCTGAGATCTTTGTCCTGAGATTATTTGTCCTGAGATAATTTGTCCTGAGATCATTTGTCCAAAGATCATTTGTCCTGAGATCATTTGTCCTGAGATTATTTGTCCTGAGAACATCACGTGACTGGGACCATCTAGCTAGCACCTGTAAACATCACGTGATTACCATCTAGCTAGCACTTACCTGTGAGCACATAAATCCCGGCACCGATCATGTGACCAATCCCGAGCAAGGTGATGTCGAAGGTGTTCAAGCACCTGCTCAAGGCCGTCTCGTGCATGTCCTCTGGGATCGTCTTGACCCTTGTGATCTTGCTCAGCCCTCGCTTGATCAGGTCCATCTGAGGGGTCAGCAAAAAAAAATAATAACTAGGGCAAGGTTGGCAGATAGTAAAGCAAAAATAATGTGTATAAAAATATATGGATGTAAAATATACATTAGATTACACTCGGTCGCTGTTCAACAGTGTTTCTTCCAGACTTTTTTCTCCGGGGGGGGGGGGGGGGGGCACCTGATATTTTCGGGGGGGGGGGGGCGGTCAACATTTTCCGAGGGGGGGGGGGCGGACATTAGTAAAAGTATGTTTGCTAAATAAGTTCTATCTCGTTCGGGGGTTGGGGGCGGTAGACATTCTTACATTCTTCGGGGGGGGGGGGGGGGGGGCTGACCCCGAAGAGATGCCTGGAAGAAACTCTGCTGCTCAAGTTGACGACTTATACAATATCTGTGTAATATAAATGACATTACACTCTGTCGCTGTTCAAGTTGACATTGTATAGAATATCAGTTTTGTTTCTACGCGCGATATGTTCTCGAGAGAAGATAATTACCAAGGGAGGTGATGAGTAACAGGTTATTGTTGGTGGAGTAATTGACGAGGGGGGGGGGTGGATTCCTAATATCAGAGTTGGGTGGACTAAGAGACGTTCTACTGACTGGAATCCGGATTCAATCTCGAGACTTCTCGGTTAGCCGTCTAGCGTTCTACCGCTACGCCACGCCCTCCCACGGCCATGTAGCAGTGACATTAAATTAGAATGGGTGATCACTTACAGAGAAAAGATATTAGATAGGTGATCAGAGTTCGTGGACACCGTTCATATATTGTAGGGCAAGGGATCTGTTTTGAGGCTCTCGTTTTTTGTGACGTCAATGAGTTCACCCAGCTCTAAAGGGTACCTGACTCTAGCTAAGGAAAACTTAACGTGGCTGCGAATACGGTTGACAACATAACGACTTCATACGCCGAGTTTACAAAAACAGATAAACTATACTTCACCTTCTATATCCATCACATTGTAACTTACTTAGATAATGTTAAAGAAAACTGACGCCCCTCCCCCCCCCCCCCCCCTCATCATAAATCAAAGCTTTATATTTCGTCACAAGAAGTAATATTCGTATATCTTGTTTCTCTTCTCGCCATGTGGATCTATTATCTTATTGACATACTGAAAGCTATTCGTCGGCCTACACAAATACACTGCTATGATACTACAGCTAGCCAATACATTTCTGAATAGCGTTTACCGCATGTTTCCATCTAGTCCCACATACATTATCATACTACAGCCAGCTAGCAAATAAATTTCCGAGTAGCATTCGTCGTATGAGCTCACTCTCCCCCACCCCCACCCAATCATTCAGCACAACATAAAAACGATCAATATCCCAGCCAAAACGGCCAGTCAACCATTGCAGATGTATTTCAAGCTGGCTTGATTTATTCTGCAGCATAACGCCAGATTCTGCTTTTAAAAAAATGTAGCACTCAACATATGTTACAACACTTTAGAAACGGCCTCGTTAATTAGCACTAAACATCTGCCTCATCACTTAATTAAACATCGGCCTAATAGTTAATTAAACTTCGGCATAATTACTTAATTTAACATCAACCTCATTATTTCATTAAACATCGGCCTCAATACTTCATTAAACATCGGCTTCGTTACTTCATTAAATATCGGCTTCATTACTTCAGCACTGGACATCGTAATGAGGCCGATGTTTAATGAAGTAAACTTCATTAAGCATCGGCCTCATCACGTCGGTAAACATTGGTGTCATAACTAAACATTTTTTCACTCTATTATAAAATCAGCTTTTAAATATATGTTGTGCTACTATAGAGACAGATTAAAGACCTAACCACTTAACTTATGGCCTCAATAATAAACATACGTTGTATCATACTAGCAACAGTGGCATGACCTTAAAACTGCATATAATATGTTGTATCACTATGCACAACCTGATAACTTGCGCACTAAACCTCATATAACGTGTGCATACTAAACATATATTGCATCTATAACTAAAGACTCATAACTTTATCACAACATATAACTTGTGCACTTAATTTAACCTCGTATAACATAATTATAACTTGTGCACACTAAACATATATTGTATCTCTATAACTAAAGACTCGTAAACTTTAGCACAACATATAACTTGTGCTCTAAGCATTTATTATATTGTATTACTTTATAGCCATATGAATGTATCACTAAACATCGTATCACAATATTTGAACACTAAATATATATGGTGTATAATTCTCTATACTATACAGACTCATGACCTTACGTCAGAGGCGTAGCGGGGTAGGGGTACATGTCCCCGGGCGCCGACCCTAGGGGGCGCCAAAATAGGTTGAAAAAAAATTAAAAGCTCATTTTAGCTGCAGTTTTGCATTATTAATATAAAATAAACGGGGGGGGGGGGGGGGGGTCGCGTCAAATTGAACGTTTGTCCGGGGGGGGGGGGGGGCAAATTGAAAGTTTGTCCCCGGGCGCCGGGAAGGGTCGCTACGCCTCTGCCTTACCTCTAAACACCGTATCACAAGACCTCACACATAAAAAAAAATATAATTACCTCAACACTTAAACACCTGTCGCACGTGACACCAAACCTTGAGTTGTAAAATGCTAATTAGATCACTGTTTGATTAATTGGATTACTGCACGCATGAGTGATTGTGGGGGCCCGTGGGCCGCATGCAGAATTTAATTATGCGGGAACCAGGTCAAGCGTGCCGGCGATCAAAGATTTTTTAATTCTCAGATATCAATACTTTTCAGAATAATAGGGAGGGGGAGGGGCATGTATGTGTATGTTAAGATATGTATCTGAGGTTGGATTTGGATACAAATAAACATGAATGGGGGGTGGGGGTTAATATGATACGCTTGTCTAAGCAGGCTTTAGTTCTTAAAAAAAGAATAATAATAAAGAAATAACTTTAGAAATAAAATGACCGAAATATTTATTTTTATCTTATGCTAGTAGCATTATAAGATAGAGGGGGGGGGGGGGAGGGGCGGTCCGCACCGGGTGACCCCTTGTAAAGGCTGACACCAAATCGTAAACATTACAATCAAAACAATGTTTTATTTTATTTTTCATTTTTAAATTTCAAAGTTGGGTAGAGGGGTGAAACCGAACAGAAAATGAACAATTATTAGAGGTGATGGTGTAACACCATCAGTTACCGCATAGGATGACACGCAACCCTGTGACTTTACCGCACTAGACGACATAAATACATCTACATTTTCACCGTAATGACGATCATCATCATTAGTTCCCTTTACTCTATCTCTCTAGAGTTATCTGTCCCGTTTAATCATCCAGGCCAAAGTTTTTTTTTGTTGTTTCTGTCAATGACATTTTGATTTCACTGTGTGGGTGGCTAGACCCACGCCAACTCCCACACTTGGCTGGGGGCAGCAGACCAGCGACCCCCCCCCCCCCTAACCCCCTCCCCCTAGTGGCGCTCTTGATTTTCTCAATGTCTGTGGGTCTGTGGTTAAATGTTGTAGCTAAATTTTGACCTATGTCTATCAATCCGATGTCGTTAAAACTTTCAATATAAATTAATTTCCGGTGACAATACGAGAATATATAATTCCAAATCTAATACCAATCTTATTATAGACAAATACTAAATTAGTCATTAAAAATTAATTTTAAGATTTCTATATTCAATGGCTCGTTAGATGGGAACAGCAACTCACCTAGGAAAGAAAATTTCGAAACCAAACAATTGATGAATGCAGCTTGTTATTCTGTGGACAAAGGCTGTGGAATCAAATCCAGAAATTAAGGCAAGCTGAAGTCTGAGCCAACTTAAAATATGACGCATAACAAGTTGACAAGTAATACTTAATTATATTCGAGGAAATTCCTTCCAATATTGTAATAAAGATCAAAGAATAAGACTTATTTTCAATAATAAAAGAAGATTTAACCGAATTAAGTTCTAACGATCGTTAAATTAGTCACGTGACTGAGGTGAGCTGATGCTCACGGATGTTTTCACGTCAGAGAGCCGACTACGGATGTTAATAATGGGCAGATAACTGTCATTTAGAATTTAGATAGCACGTTACCTTTACATAACGCGCTTTTAAGAATACTAAAACTTAGAAAATAAAACTAAATTTCTATATGAATTGAAAGACTCTGAAGTAAGAAGGACATTTTGAGGAGTGGGACAATAACGTTACAGGAGTGAAGTTTTGTGAGTTGTGTGAGTTGGGTTGAGTTGCAGAATATAGTTTGGTATTCTTGGTTCATCATCATCGTTTTTCCCCGGTCGTGCCCAAGACACACGGGGCAGATGAAGTAGAGTTATTCTGTTTCAGAGACCTCGGCATATAAAGGGATAGTATGGTAACCATTATTCCCAGCCGCCTTTGCTTTCCCTAACGTGAGGTGGGTACCCATCAGGGCTGAGTAGACTCAGTGACCTTCCACTGACTTAGGCCAGGATTCGAACTCGAGACTTAGTAGCAGTCTAGTTCTCTAGCGCTAGGCGACGTCGTCCATGTATGTTGTGTTAGGTTACAGAATGCACAGACCACAACACTAAAAAAAAATACTACATTCATCCTGGCTAGACTTAAAAATCAGGATTTTACTTCTCCCAAAGAAAATAGCGAAGGATTTCTAACAATAGTGCGGGCCATTTTATCGTTGTATTGATTCAAGTCACGTGTTGGGCAAGACACCACAGATTGGAAGTGGGTGGTTTATGGGGGGAGGGGTGGGGGTGGGGGTGAGGGGGGGCGTCTGCTTCCTGCCGTCGGGAGATATAATTTAGATCAGGAGGCGAACGAAATGTACAGCGACCCACACTAAATGTGACAAGACACAGTTCATCAGGACAAATACCAAGACACACAAGCTAAATGTGTCAAGACTCAGTTCATCAGGACAAATACCAAGACACACAAGCTAAATGTGTCAAGATACAGTTCATCAGGACAAATACCAAGACACACAAGCTAAGACACAGTTCATCAGGACAAATACCAAGACACACAAGCTAAG